GGTGCTTCGTGTGCGGGTGCTTGGTACGCGGACGCTTCGTGCATGGACGCTTCGTGTGCGGGCGACTCGTCGGGGCATCGGTCGGCGCGTCTGTCGGCTCGTCAGATGGCTCGTCAGAGGGGTACTCGGTCGGCTCGTCGGTCGGCTTGTCGGTCGGCTCGTCGGTCGGCTCGTCGGTCGGCTCATCGGTCGGCTCGTCCGTAGGTTCATCCGTAGGTTCGTCCGAAGGCTCGTCGGAGGGTACTTCGGTCTCGTCGCCCGCGGGGTCCTCGGTCGGATACGCCGTCGGCGAGTCCGTCGCGTTGCCGCCGTTGAGGCACGCGGCTTTGGTCGGGTTCTCGCTCGAAAAGATTGCAGTCGCAAACCACTTGCCGCTCGTCGGTGACTTCTTGACGCCAAAGCCGACGTGGTTGTAGCCTCGGTTGAGAATGTTGGCGCGGTGACCCGCCGAGTTCATCCAGCTCGTCGTCATCGTCTTGGCGTTGCCTTGGTAGTCGTACAATGTGTTTTCGCCGCAAGCGACGTTGCCGATGGCCTTGCAGCGCTCGTCAAAGCCGTTGTGGTCAATGTTGTCAACGCCAATCTCATAGTCGACATGGCTCGCGCTGAGTGCGTTGAGCTGCGTGTCGAGGCACGTGAACGGCGCGAGGCCATTCTGCGTGCGCTGCGCGTTGTGTTCCGTGAAGAGGTCCTGGACGACGTCGCCGGCCGCGAGCACTGCGACCGCAAGAATGAGCTGCACTTGCATGGCAAATGAAATTGGAAAATGAGGTCCACGCTCGTGGTCGACCATGATGAGAGCGATGTCGGCCTTTCCCACTTTGCACATGGCGGCGGGGCACGTGGTTGGCCGTTCGTATGCGCTGGCGGCGCTTCGAAACCAGCTTGCGTCGTCATGGAAGAGTGTCCTAATGCAAATAGCGTCGTCGTGCATCCAACAGATGGCGTGTCGTTACGACGTTGGATGTCACGGACCGATGACGTGGCGTCGTGTGCGCTCGGGGATGTTGAATGCTGTACATGTACTGTACTAAGTACCGCCCTGGGGGGCGCCCCAGGTCAGTTGGTAAAGTTTCTGCTTCGCATCCCGAAGGTCGCCGGTTCGAGCCCGGCTGCGCGCGCGCATTTTTCCGTTCTCCGCCCCCCTCCTCTCTGCGTCGCGCGATGTATCCGAACAGGGGCGAACCATGTGGGTCGGGGCCACCTCCGCAAGTGTCACCCAGATCACATGATGACGTACTGTACACCAGCCGCTCCAACAACAGACCTATTTGAGACAATTTCTTCCAGCGAGCTCTGCTCATTAAATTAAATTGACCCAATTCAACACGAAAGCACCGCCCTCGAATCTGCTTGAACCCGCAAAATGAGAAAAACTGGACGATATGATACGTGTACCAGCGCTTTTGTCGAGGAGTTGCATCAAACAGGCTTGTTGTCCCCGCGCGACTACAGAAGAACAAGATGCACCCCCGCGCCGCCGCCTGCGCAGCCACGGCCCGGCGAGCGAATGAAGAAGAAGGAGATTGCTAGTCTCTACGTATGCGAACTCTTTGGAACAACCAAGATAACGCGAAACACGTTCATATATAAGGCTTGTTTTCCAGAATTTCGTAGCAGAAACATCTCGTTTCCATAATGCATGGTTCCAATCAGGGTTCCAATCGCTTGCTTCGACGTCGAACCATGCTTGCATTACGCTCCAATACCGCATGCATCCAGCAGCTATTTTGGTGACCAACATTGAAGCTCGCATTCAACCACTTGCATGGTGCCGGTAGGGATGATTGACAACGGGGACTTCAACGCTAACGTTAAAAACACATGTTTTATACACCACACCGCGCCAAAAGTGATGGCCAATACGAAGTATACATAGTACCCTTTGCTACTCGGTGGTGCGCAGTGCTCGCTGGGACGTTGATGGAGGGTGCGTCTTGTGGTGGTTGTGGTGGTGGTGCTTTGTTGTTGCAATGCTGGTGCCAACGACAGCTTCGGCAGCGCTTTGGACGCAACTCGCCTCCTTGTGGGGGTTGGCACTGGCAAAAAGCGCCGTGGCAAACCACTTGCCGGTCGTGCTCGACTGCTTGACGCCAAAGCCCGCATGGGTGTAGTTGGCGTTGAGGATGTTGAGGCGGTGGGGCGGCGATGCCATCCAGCTCTCGGTCATTGCGCTACCGTCGTCGACGTAGTCGAAGAGCGTGTTTTCGCCGCACGAGACTCGGTTGCTCACACCCAGACAGCGCGCGTCAAAGCCATCGTGGTTGAGTGCGCCCAGACTCACTTCGTAGTCGGCGTGGCCTTGGCTGAGCGTATTGAGCTGGCTATCGAGACACGCAAACTCGGGAATGCCGTAGTGCTTCCGGGCGAGGTTGTGGGCGTCGAAAAGATCCTGCACGATATCGCCAGCGACAAGCGTACTCCAGAAAAGGACAAATGCTGCGTACATGGCCAATGAGAAAATGCATCGCAAATCAACTTGTTCTGGGAGATGGAATCGAGACTTGCAGTCTGGAGGAGATAGGTCCTGCTATGCTGGGTGATGTTCGTGTGCTGGACATGAGATTCCGAAATAGGTGCGTTTTTATGGCTAAAAGCACCTCTTTGGGTGCGTATTGAAGTGCAAACTTTAAATCAGGTGCGTTTCGGGGCCTCACGACGCAGGGGGCAAAGCAATCGAAGCCGTGTGCAACCTTTAGTGCAATAGCATTGACTGACGCATGGCCCAACGTTCTGGCAAGCGCATTCTCCTTCGAACGATGCGCGTTTCGATGAGGCCCCTTCGACGTCATCATCGCTTTCTGTGCATGTAAGCAAGCTTGATCTTAGCAACCTGGCTAAGATCTTCACAGAGTGAACAGTCGTTCAGGCATGCGGCTACTTGTACTTGTATGACACACCGCATGAGGCCTATCTGAGCACTAGTACATACACCGATTGTTGGCGAGGGCGTCACGGGATGGATCTCTCCGTGCGCAGCTCACTCCCAACGACCAAGTGCTGGTGCCAACTCCCACGCATTCAGGCGTCGCACTGTACGTATGCGAAGTCTTTTGACTTCGTTTTTGCTGATTTGATTGGCTTAAGCTAACAGAGCTCGTCTAGTGATGGAAGATGCTGTACATTAGCGGGTAGCAAGTGTAGACGTCTATAGCGTAGCAGACAGCAACCGTACAAACTGTACAGACAATTAGTTCGGAGGCTCATCGGTGCTGTGTCTTGGCCATGGTCAATACTTGACCTCGTTTTGTCGTGTGCCAAGGTATCAACTTGATGTACTCACGTTAACAAAAATGCAAATGGCGACGTTCCTTTGAAATTTAAAAGTATAAACGCAATTGGCAACGAGTCGCACGGTCGGCGGTCGCACCAAGCGCCTCGACCACATGTGGCTCGACGTCGGCTGGAAACTGATCCAGAACAAACGGAACGTCGTGGATCATGGCGAGCGCGCGCAGGACGGCGCACTTATGCTCTTTGTCGTTACCGAGTGGCGAGCGGTCTCCATTGATGGTTATCTGCCGCATCGCCGTCTTCAAGTGGAGCTCACGGACATGGCGGCCCGCAGCGACGAGCTCCATGAGAATGTACAGCAGATTTGGCAGCGCCATGGCATTGAAGCGTGGCGAGACGTCCAGCCACGTCAGCTGCGGCAAGCGCCATGCGCCAGGCAGCACCGCCGCGACGCCATCGTGGTACATGGCGTGTTCTTTCAACTGGAGGCGACTCAGACGCGTGCACGAGGTCGCAAGCGCCGCCATGAGCTGCACCGCCGCGTCATCCTTGGCGATCGCGCAGTGCTCAAGCCCCAGCGTGGTGAGCGCCGGGACCGTCGACAAGCCAGCGATGAGTGCTTCAACGCCGGCGGCCGGCAGCGCGTGGACCTCGAGGCACGTCAGTTGGGCTAGCATCGGTGCGGCGGCCATGCACTGCGCAAGTTTGCCAAAGACGCTGGAGCCAAAGTGCTGTAGCCGTGTTGGGCCCACGGCCATAGCCAGGTGGTTGATCGTTGCATCATCGACGTTGGGGTCGTGGAAGCATGCGTTCCATTCGAAATGCCGCAAGGACATCGGAAGCGTGCGGCCGCGGAAGCCCATGAGGTTGTTAACACGACTGAGCACAAGCGTGTCAAGCGTCGTGTTGGCTTGAAGCGCGTCACAGAATGCAATCGCCGCGTCGTCGTCCATGTGGGCGACGTCGACCATGTCCAGACTCGTTCTCGGTGCAGTCGAAAGCCACGATGCCAGAAAGTGCCCGAGCCGCGGGGTCGCAGGGACGTCCAGCAGATCGAGCGTGAGTCGCTCGACGCGCGGGTGCGCGACGGCCGCGAGCAAATTGCTGAGCTCCATGCGCGCATCGTCGCCGTCGTCGCGTACGGTATCGAT